GTTTTAGCCTCATTTGCATTTTTTACTTCTGTTGTGATGAAATACTCTTTTACATTTTCTAATTTTTCTAACAGGTACTTTTCAATGAGTTGGGAATATGTGACAAGTGGTTTGGTCATGTTGGTATATTATTTCAGCACAGCATTTTTTTTTTTAAACTGAGTTTCTTTCTTTTTTTTTTTTAAAGAGAGTGTGAAAGAGGGAGAGAGAATTTTTAATATTTATTTTTTAGTTCTCGGCGGACACAACATCTTTGTTTGTATGTGGTGCTGAGGATAGAACCCGGGCTGCACGCATGCCAGGCGAGCGCACTACTGCTTGAGCCACATCCCCAGCCCCAGCACAGCATTTTTTCTTTCCTTTTTTTTTTTTTGGGTATTACTGGAGACTTAAATGCAGGGCCTCACAAATGCTAGGCAAGTATACTACTATGGAACTATATCCCTAGTTCGTTTTTTTTTTTTAATATTTATTTTTTAATTTTCGGTGGACACAACATCTTTATTTTTATGTGGTGCTGAGGGTCGAATTCAGTGCCCCATGCATGCCAGGCAAGTGCGTTACCACTTGAGCCCATCCCATCCCTTGTTCTTTTTAAAATCTTTTTATTTTGAAACAAAGTCTTACTAAGTTGCCCAGGATGGCCTGAACTTAAGATCTTCCTATCTCAGTCTCCTGAGTAGCTAGGATTACAGGTGTGCAACCACCACTCAGCACAGCTATCTTTATTAGATGCTTTGCCAATGACTTCAGTGACAAAATAATTTGTACTTTACTGTGTTCTTCTCATTTTTTTACGAGAGTTTTATGAGGATAATAAAGGATAAATAAAGTGCTATGGAACACTAACATGCATAGCACAAGGAAACAAAGCTGAGTGCACTACCAGCTGCAGCAGGACACACATGTAATCCCAGCAACCTGGGAGGCTGAGACAGGAGAATCTCAAGTTCAAAGCCAGCCTTAGCAAAAGTGAGGAGCTAAGCAACTCAGTGAGACTGTCTCTAAATAAAAATTACAAAAAAGGGCTGGGGATGTGGCTCCGTGGTTAAGCGCTCTTGAGTTCAATCCTTGATACCAAAAAAATAAGCTGAGTGCCCTGACACACCACTACTAGAGAGCCTTCCACAATCTCTGTGGTGGCTACTCAGTACAGCAGTTTAGTGTGCAACCTCAGATATGTAAATGAATGAATGTGGGTTCAAATACAGCTTTATTCATGGATTCTTTGAAGTTCACTTAATTTTCACCTCATGAAATATTGTTCTTTTCCAGCCATTAGAATAGGGCTGGGGATGTGGCTCAGTGGTTGAGTGCTCCTGAGTTCCATACCTGGTACCAAAAAAACAAAAAAATCTTAGCACATGAACCATATAAAAGCAGGCAGCAGGCTGGATCTGACAGGCAGGCTGTAGTCTGCCAACTCTGCTCTAAGAGATGGTATTCCCCAATATGTCTCACACCTCTATACTTTTGATCTTGTTGTTTCCTTCTGGCTCCTTCTCTATCCTGAGGGTTCCCTGACCCTCCCTGCCCAGTGGTGTTAGTTGCACACTCTATGCTCCTAATGCATTGTGTGAACACAGTTGGTTCAGTCCCAGAGCAGTTGATTCTGACTACTCTATAGACAGCCATAGCTATTCATCTTCGCATCCCTGCACAGAACTGACCCATAGCAGGTGCTCAAGAAATGTACTGAAGGAAAAAGAAAGCAAACAGCATCCCAAATGGAACAAGTCTGGTACTCAAAAGCTCTGCATGAACCCAGCAAAATAGGGAGAAATGTCTCTCATTATTCATGGCAATTCATTCCTTTGCAGTGCTTTTATTTCTTTGTAAAATGAATGACTAAATGGCATCTTCTTTTTTGAAATATTTATTTGTAGTTGTAGTTTGACACAATACCTTCACTTTAATATGGTGCTGAAGATTGAACCCAGGGCCTCGCATGTGCTAGGCAAGCATTCTACCACTGAGCCACATCCCCAGGCCCACTAAATGGCATCTTCTTTGTTTAGGATTTGTAAAAGTTGACTGGGACTCAGCTATTCATTGGAATAAAGAGGCAAACAGCCTAGACAGTGGTAGCCTCTGGAGAACTAAGAATAGGAAGAGATGGTGCTACAACACTGGATGTGCTCAACACTTGAAGAATCTCAACATATAATATGCAAAAGATAGAGTTTAACAAAAGGGGCAACAGACTCAATGACATAAATTCACTCAGGATGCCTGATATCTCTCCGTCAGAGCACATGGGCCATGGGTTCTGAAGTAGGAAGGGCTAATGCTCTTAAGGAACCTACTACTCTCTTGGCCAGTGGCAGTTACCACTCAAGAACCTTTCGGGTAGAGATCTGCAACTTAACAGATCTGCCTGTATCTAATAAGCTAATCTATGAAAACTGAATTTCACTTTTATCAACAAGTATACATATAAGACACAGAAATTGGATCTTAAGACATAAGAAATGGTCCTGATCTGGGGCTGGGGTTGTGGCTCAGCAGTAGAGCGCTCGCTTAGCATGTGTGAGGACCTGGGTTCAATTCTCAGCACCACACAAAAATAAATAAATAAAATAAAGGTATTGTGTCCAAATAATGCTGAAAAATAAATATTAAAAAAAAAAAGGTCCTGATCTTAAACATTCTTTACTGGAATCTAACCATAAAAATAGGATTCTGCAAGCAGCACCAAAGGAAAGGAAAAAAAAAACTAAAACCAAGTCATCATTGAAGATTATTTTTATATACAAAAGATGTGGTGTTTGCCTAGCATACACAAGGTCCTGGGTTCCACTGCCAGCACCGCCCC